TAATGTTCTGAGAGATAATTGAAAAACAATGGCCATTGAATAACATTTTTGATAGTAGAAATAAAGGTTTTAAAAACGTTATTTCACTAACAAAGTAGAGGAATGACATACAGTATACAGTACTTTAACTACCAAAATACACAACTCATAGATAACCACAAACTTCACTTTGTTAAATATCAAATGAATTAACTTTACATGTTATAAACAATGCAAATAAACAGTAGTTAAAGCATGTGGATCAATTGTGTGTTACAGAATTTGATTATTGGGGAGATTCCTTTTAAAAAACTAAATTAGTTAAGATCTAAATTAGTTACGATAAAAAAATGCATATAATGACTCAAGAAAATCAGTTTTAATTCAGATTCAGAATTTGATTATTGGGGCCATTTTTACCTACCTGTCATATGGGGCCATTTTTTACCGGGGCCATTTTTTCCGGGGCCATTATTTCCGGGGCCATTTTTTCCGGGGCCATTTTTTCCGGGGCCATTCTTACCGTACACCCATATTCACCACCATTAAAAGAATCTAATACTAAGATGCCCACATCTAATTGAGGTCTGTGTAATTCTTTCACAGGTAAGTACTTGTTATAACTTTGTTTTGAACTTTTCTTTAATTAAATACATTGATTGATATTTTGTATTAAATAAACATTTACAGTATATAGATTTTAAATCACTTAGAGAAGTGAATATGATGAACCATGGAGTTATAACTCCATGGAGGAAGTGAGATAATAATAAGATCATCTATTGTTAGTTAGTAGATTATTACTTAAATCAATAGTATAGTTTTAAACTTATTAGATTATTATTTATGATTCATTCTAAGATGAGACTGTGAAACTATTTATATGTAACACTAATACATTTATGTAATAGTTATGAATCTGAATTAAAAGCCCTAGATATTAGAATAGACCTTTAGAATATTTCAGCATAGGCTAATGACCTTGTTACAAACTAGTTTGGTATGCAAGGGCTATGCTGCTGGAAACAGGCTGTTGCTATGGCAACGAAGGATAAGGTGAATCTTAAAGTAGGGCTGAGGTTTTAGTAATGTAAACACCTGTTGAAAACTATAAATAATTTGGTACTACAGTATTAGAAAATATTTTGTTACTTTATTCTCTATTATAAAGTACAACTAAAAGTAGTGATATTTTATTGGGGAACTTTTTATATCTACAATGAAAACGAATTATTTAATTACATAGATAATTGATAATAATTAGCTACTTTTAGTAATAGATATTTTGTGTAATGTTAGCTTTATTTTTAATTAAGTTCTCGTTACTTGGGTAACAGGACAAGTATAAGAATTAATGTAATTTTTATCATAATTATTTATTCTGTTAGCTATTTTATCATTTCGCATTATGTTTTAATTATTATGTTGACCATTAAAAGAATCTGATACTAAGATGCCCACATCTAATTGAGGTCTGTGTAATTCTTTCACAGTCGTGATATCTCCCTGGAGCACCCGTAAAATATATATATAATATTCAGTTACGTAAGTCTTTGATTTTATTTATATTTTTCTATGCCTATCGTATTATATTTGTTGTACATCGATTGATGTAATTTGTGGGTATAGGGTAATTTGTTGGAGAGACAATAGTTTATTGACTGGATGAACCATGTCTGATTATCGTGCTTAATATAGTTGATAATTTATTGGAGAGACAATGGTTTGTTGACTGGATGAACTATGTCTGATTATCGATTGTAGGTAAAAATAGGCCTTTTTCACGCTGCGGTAGACATCTTCGTTCGATGACAATCAGTGCTGAGCAGTAAAGCATAACCAATAGAAATAACATAGCGTTTCGACCATATTTTCGGAGGTCATGTTACTTAAAAAATTATAAATCCTGAACGGAGGGTCGTATCAACATAATTTTTTCTTTAAAATGTTCGAAAAGGATACATCTACATACTGTATGAATAAAAAACAATTGAAAATTTGTTTAGTCTGTCAAAACTAAACTGGAAAATGGAAGACCGATTTTGTGTAGTGTTAACACATATATTGCCATTATTTTACACTGTTCGACCAGATATCATTAGCGTGCCGGCCATATTTTCTGAGGTCATGTTACTTAAAGAATCATAACTCCTTAACGGAGGGTCGTATCGACATATTTTTCTTCTTTAAAATGTTCGCAAAGGATATATCTAAGTACTGTATGAGTAACAAAAAATTAAAGTTTGCTTAGTCTGTCACAATTTAATTGAAATAATAGCAACATGCAATATACAAAATCGGTCTTCTATGTTCTAGTTAAGTTTTGACAGACTAATCAAATTTTCAACTTTTTTTTATTCATACGTTACGTAGATATTTCCTTTGCGAATATTTTAAAGAAAAAATATGCCGACATGAACTCCTGCTAAGGATATGATTTTTTGAGTAACATGACCTCCGAAAATATGGCTGAAACGATATGTTATTTCTGTTAGTTACGCTTTGCTGCTCAGCATTGTTTGTCATCGATCGAAGATGTCTATGGCCCCGGTAAAAATGCCCAGGAAAAAATGGCCCCAAATGTCAAGTAGGTAAAAATGGCCCCAATGAAAAAATTCAGTAATAGAAATGATATTTTTGTTTAAATCTTCAAACATTTAAATACTGTAATGAGCAAGAATTGAATCAATAAATAAAAAATGGCCCTCAATTATAAAATTCAAAAAAAAAACAAAAAAAAATTAAATGCTGTAAAATACCCTGTAGCAAAAGCATTGAATTAATAAATCAACATAAACCATATGCATATTTGAGAACTAAAATAACTTAATTTTTAGCTCCTAGGATATGAGTAGCTCTAGGAGTACCCTGCTGATTGATTAATTAATATCTTTTTTGTATGGGTGGCTGTTGGGTCTAAGTATTTTAAAAAAATTATTATTATTAGATATACTATCATAATGATATTAGTAAATCTCACAAACCTCCCAAAGCACACTGTAGAAAACCAAACAATTCAATTGTGATTGACTCACTTGGCATAGGCCTATCAATAAGAAAATTAAATATTCATAAGAACCTATTTTTTGGTTAAAATGTTGATTTCTTTGTGAAAAAATACTTGCAAATACACCACAAACCTTCAAACACACTGCGAACCCCATCCAAACCCTTTAATGATGATTGTAGAACTTTTTTTCTTAAAAAAATAAATAGGCCTAATAATTTGATATTCATATCAACCCATTGTTTGTGGGGTTTACCAATACCCGGATTGAATTTCTGGAAAATTGTGATTCCGCTTCCGTGAAATTGGCCACAAATAAATTATTTCAGTATTAATAAATGCATGATTTATGTTGATTTATTGATTATGTTTTTGCTATTTTTTAACATTTAAATGGAAAAAAAATAAAAAGTGTTATTCATGGCTTTTTTTTATCTCTGAATATTTTATCATTTAATATATAATTCCTACAAAAAGTAAAATGTAAATGGCAAATTATTTGATGTTACATTCCTTTTAAAAATTAAATTATTTCAGTTAAAAAAATGCATATAATGATTTAACAAAAATCAGTTTTAATACAGAATTTTATTAATGGGGCCATTTTTACCGCGGCCATTTTTTCCGGGGCCATTTTTACCGGGGCCATTCTTACTGTAAACCCTGATGATCATACCTATTATAATCATAGACCGATATAGTTGTTAGATATACAATAGTATAATTTGCTTGTATTTATATCGTAGCTAGCTAGCCTACCTAGCCTCCTCCTAGGCCAAGGCCCCTAGGCCTAGCCTAGGCCTTAGGCTAGGCCTAGGCCTGGGGCTTTCACTTTCACAGTACCTGCTAGAAACATGAAGTTTGGCAAAAATGTGATTAAGTGGCAGAGTTTTCACAATATCTTTGAGTTCCTTTAGTTGTAAAATATATACAGCAGTTTTTAATTGGCTCAACGTCTCTTCAACATCAACAGAATCTGACGACAACTGGCACACAAGATCGTTTATGGTGGCTGCCATCTTGCATAAAACTCCACTCGGACAATCTCGGATTGACTCGAGTCGAGTTCGATATGATACACTGAGTCGAGTCAATCCGAGATTGTCCGAGTGGAGTGTTATGCAAATGACGTTCGTACGAGGGGAAAAAATTTATACCGCCATGGTTTATTACAGTATGTAGAACCACTATTAAGGGGACACCTTCGGGACCAAAAAAATTGTCCCCTTAATAAGGGTGTCCCCTTATTAGGGGTACCTCTATAAGGGGACACAAATAAAAAAGGTGAAATTGTCTCCTTAGGCCAAGTAACAAAAATTACTTGTTTCCCGTCCCCGCGCGCGTCGAATTTTGGGCCCGCATCGATTTTTTTGTTATTTGTTATTTTTCGAAATTTCGTTTTTTTTGGTGTTTTTTGTTAGTCTGAAAACGCGAAATGACGATATATGACGCATTTTCTAGACTCAAGCAACGCAAATAACCGCTCAAGCACGAAAATTGTGTGGTTCCTATAGGTCGATTTTGACGCGTTTCGAAGTTTACAAACGCAATTTCGCACGGAAGCAATCGTAACCGCGACTGAAAACGAGGCTATCTAGAGACAGCGTGACAGCAAAACAAACGATTTCTAAACATGTGAAAATGGTGACAATTAAGTCGAACCGACTCTAATGCAGTTCTCCGATGTTTGTGGGCCAAAACATTTGAAGAAAGCGATGACCATTGTTTAATGAACGATTGTATGGTGCTATAAACTCAGCAGAGGAGCAGTTTCGTACGACAATGAAACGGTGAGTCACTTCTGGCCTAGTAGTAGTAGTACTTAGGCTAGGCCTAGACTAGGCCTACTACTACTAGGCCGCCTAGGCCTATATTAATTATTATATAGGAAACCTGACTATATTTGGAATAGGTAGTAAACTTAAAAAGTTCTTCAGAATTCTCCGAAAGGCAAATTTGTTACAAACCGACTATTATGAACATATTTATAGAGATTAAAACATCGTACAGGCCGATCTTTTTGTTCAGTCAATATAGACGCGATGAGTTAGGCCTAGGCTAGGCTACATGGGCCTAGGCTAGGCTCGTAGGCCTACGTCGAAGAATCCTTACGTCAACTTCTTCTCACCACTATGAGCCATATACCCATTTTCCGAGTGGATAGTCCGATCGTATGACCATTCATGTATCAATCAAGGCAGGAATATTATATTTCGCCTGAAGTAGCCTTGCATTGCACACTTTATTTGAACTTGAAGGACAGCCTTCTGATTCATGGACTTTTATTTCTTTGCCTAGCGCTAACTAGCGGCACAGACCCGTCTGACCCAGGGCACTTTCCCCTTATGGCCCTGACTCTTGGTGCCACTGGGGATTTGACTTTACTTTCTACCTTTCAAAATAAATGAAATGAAATGCAAAATTGTCACAAATGTTTTATTTTTTTATTATTTTTATTTTTTTGCAGATTGAAGTGAGTGTTGGTACCTCGAAGGAGGCACATGATAGCTATCCCAGATACTGAAACCTTAAAAACAGCGACAAGAATAGGAATACCAAATATGGATAGTGTTTTTTTATTATTATGACATGAATGTTTGCAATGTAGGAATGACAAGAATCAAGAATACATTATTTTTTTATCGAACAAATATAGTGTACAATGAAAATAGCTGATTATTATTAATTATAATGTAAACAATTATTGGCTTATATAACATGGCTAAATACTGGCGTTAATCTTTCTAAATCTGTAGGTACTGGTTGTATCTTATGATCCAATGATTAATTTAATTGTCTTGTGATGTGATATCTTGCCTAAAACCAAAAATGCCTGAAAACAGAAAACACAAGCAAATCAGATTAACAGTTACTATACAATATATAGGGTATTTTTGATTTTTTTTTTTCAATAAAAAAAATTAATGAATTTCATACTGTACCTTGTGTTTTTATATTTGTTGTCATGCCCTCTGGATGCTTTACTGTACGACTCTTTATGTGTGTGACTGTATGCACTACTATCAAGACAGGACGCGTATTTAAGTATTTTTTGACACGGGTACAAAAATAACAAATAATAAGTGCCTCCCTCACCAACTTTTTGAAAAACCCCGGACGGGAAACAAGTATTTTTTGTTACTTGGCCTTAATAGGGGTTTTTGGCATGTTTTCGGGGTCCTACTAAATACCACACGGAACACACGGGACCACTCGGGAACACACGGGTGCAAAAATGATAAAAATATTACCACACCAGAGTAGAAAACTACTTAATAATCAATAGAAACCAACTTTTAGAACGGTAATTATCCGAATTCCGTTAAAAATCGATGTTTTTTGTTTTGTTGGTTTTCCCGTCGTGTGTCGGTATGTAATGCGTTGACATTGTGGATCTGTAACGCATTGACGTGTCAGCAGAAACGCATTCAACCATGACCTTTATGTCTGTGTTTCATCTTAACCTCGTTGGTTTCATAGCATCAATAAAGATACGCCGTTATATACTGCTACGTGAACGGTAATAAACATATTCTACATAAACGAAAATGAGAATTTGAATTTTTATGTATTGTTAGATTGATCGTTTATTTTTATTTTCTGTCAAGCTCGTATATGTTTTTTTTTTCTTTTTCAGTGAAGGGCCTACATCAATGGAATAAAGAAGATTGCATTTGATAAAATATATTATAAGTGAATAAATACAGAACTCAACTTGTTACAGTAATAAATTAGCTTCAATTTGGTTACCAGTAGGGTGTGTATGTATGTATGTATATATATATATATATATATATATATATATATATATATATATATATAT